GCAACCAAGGTACATGCCCTTGACCGGAATCGAACCTGGGACTCTTTAGTCCGCAGGCTGACGCTCTATCCACTGAGCCAAACCAGTTAAGGCAAAAAAAAAACAAAAAACACCTCTTTTTTAATCAATATTTTTTAGAGAGAGAGGGAGAGACACATTGATGTGAGAGTGAAACATTAATCAGCTGCCTCCTGCGTGTCCTCCATTGGGGCTTGAGCTCACAACTCGGGCATGTGCCCTGACCAGGAATTGAATTGGCAACCATTCAGTGCAGGAGATGACGTCCAACCAACGGAGCCACACCAGCCAGGGCATCTTTTGTTCTTTTTTTGTATCTATCTTAGACAAGCAATTTTTTTTTAATTTATTGTTTTTAGAGAGAGAGGAACATCAGTTTGTTGTTCCATTTATGATGCATTCTTTGGTTATTTTTTGGATGTGCCCTAACTGGAACGCAAATCCGCAACCTTGCCATTTCAGGATGACACTCTAACAAGCCAGGGCCAGACCAGCAATTTTTAAAAATATGTTTTTATTGATTTTAGAGAGAAGAAGGGAGAGGGGTAGATAGAAACATCAATGATAGAGAAACATCGATCAGCTGCCTCCTGCACACTCCCTACTGGGGATTAAGCCCGAAACCCAGGCATGTGCTCTGACTGGGAATTGAACCAGGGACCTCTTGTTTCATGGGTCGACACTCAAACACTGAGCCACACTGGCTGGGCCAGACCAGTGATTTTCAACCAGTATGCTGTGGCACACTAGTGTGCTGCAAGAATTTTTAAAACATGCTATACCTGGCTATTTAGTCAGGGGCACTGACCTCTTTTCCGGTTGAAAATCGCTAGTAGACAAATAAATGCATAATGGTACCATTCACCAGGCTGGACAACACAACACGGGCAGATAAGTTACTTGGAGAGAGATGAGTGAGGTTTTGAACATATTGTTCTAGTGTCTTTGGGACACTCAAGAAATCCAAAAGGCAGTGGGATATATGTGTTTGGGTCTCAAGAGAGAGGTCTGGCCCTAACCCATGGATTGAAGGATCTCATGTTCAATTCCCGTGAAGCATGTACCTCGGTTGCAGGCTCGATCCCCAGCCCCGTTGGGGCACATGCAGGAGGCAACCAATAGATGTGAAAGAGACACGTTGATGTTTCTCTCTCTCTGTCCCTTACCCTCTCTAACACTCTCTCTAAAATCAATGGAAAAATATCCTTGGGTGAGGATTAACAAAAAAACAAACAAAACAGAAAAATGACAACAGCCTGGCAGGTGTGGTTCAGTAGTTGAGTGTCAACCCGTGTTTCTCTGTCATTGATGTTTCTATCTCTCTCCAATTCCCTTCCTATCTCTAAAATCAATGAAAATATATTAAAAATAAATAAAGCCCTAACTGGTTTGGCTCAGTGGCTAGAGCGTCGGCCTTCGGACTGAAGGGTCCCAGGTTCGATTCCGGTCAAGGGCATGTACCTTGGTTGCTGGCACATCCCCAGTGGGGGGTGTGCAGGAGGCAGCTGATCGATGTTTCTCTATCATTGATGTTTCTATCTACCCCTCTCCCTTCTTCTCTCTAAAATCAATAAAAACATATTTTTAAAAATTGCTGGTCTGGCCCTGGCTTGTTAGAGTGTCATCCTGAAATGGCAAGGTTGCGGATTTGCGTTCCAGTTAGGGCACATCCAAAAAATAACCAAAGAATGCATCATAAATGGAACAACAAACTGATGTTCCTCTCTCTCTAAAAACAATAAATTAAAAAAAAATTGCTTGTCTAAGATAGATACAAAAAAAGAACAAAAGATGCCCTGGCTGGTGTGGCTCCGTTGGTTGGACGTCATCTCCTGCACTGAATGGTTGCCAATTCAATTCCTGGTCAGGGCACATGCCCGAGTTGTGAGCTCAAGCCCCAATGGAGGACACGCAGGAGGCAGCTGATTAATGTTTCACTCTCACATCAATGTGTCTCTCCCTCTCTCTCTAAAAAATATTGATTAAAAAAGAGGTGTTTTTTGTTTTTTTTTTGCCTTAACTGGTTTGGCTCAGTGGATAGAGCGTCAGCCTGCGGACTAAAGAGTCCCAGGTTCGATTCCGGTCAAGGGCATGTA